CCCGCACCCACCCCCTTTGCATGTTCCTCAAGAAGAGGCTGTCTTCGTTTGAGCAAGGAGGGATGAGTAACCAAAGGTCATGCATCACTGTTCAGATCCCCCTTCTGGTCCCTCGCCCCTGCCTGACTCTCTTGTCTTTGCCCTCCTTAGAAGCGGAGAGATCACTCTCATCTCAGGGTCCTTGCAGTGGGACTTCTCTTTGAGTCCCTCCCGTCCCATTAAAAGGCGCTTTGTGAGGGCGCCGGGTTACGGATGCACATGAGACAAAGCAGAAGTCAGAAGTTGAGAGACTCATCAGTCTGTCAGTTGGGACAATGTCCAGAGGAAAATGTCTGCAGGCTGTTCACTGGTGATCTCAGCCCAAAGAAGCCCTTTCTCCCATGGCAGGAAATGCAAGCCTCCGCTCACTCATTGGCTTCCCTCTGGCCACTGCCATAGCAGGAATTCCACCACTGGGAGGGGCCAGGGCAAAAATAGCTCCCTGGTGCATCACCTGGTGTTGGAGCAGCCAGGAAATGCCAGGTTATGCTGATGGACTTGCTGTCTGGTCAGTTTTCCACTGATTTCTGAGAAACGCTGTCTCTTAAGTTTGTCCATAAAATACGAATTGTGACATAGGGAGGCAGCCTTTCTGTGATTCCAAAACCAGGGTTCTCTACCTAAGCTGTATGCGATGACTTGTTCAATAACGATTTTCTCTGGCTCCCTTTCTCCCTTGTCATTTCAGTCTTTAAAGAAGCTCAACCATGCCAATGTTGTCAAATTGAAAGAAGTTATCAGGGAAAATGATCACCTTTATTTTATCTTCGAGTACATGAAGGAAAACCTTTATCAGCTCATCAAAGAAAGGTACAGGGTGGACGTGATCTTAGAAATAAATATTACACTCAAGGATGCTTATTTGTCTTGCCATCCAATGGTCTTGCTACTTAGGCTTTGTCCTGGGAAGTTGCCTCTTGGATCAGGAGTCCGACCCACCTTCCTCTAGCAATCATACCTGTGGAAAGTGGAAATCTGTCAGAGAGGGACAACTCAAATATTATCAGTTAAAACAAGTAATAGAAAGGTGACCGCAATAGAAATAAAAACTTGCAAGACCTGGAAAAAACAAGGCTCCCTGGTCAAGTTCTGTCTCTTACTGGTTTCTGTCTCGTTTTAAGCCAGCCACATTTATGTTTTAATGGGCTGTTTACACAAAGAAGCTCCGAGATTTAACACACTGCAGCCCCGCATTCAAACAAGCACGTGTGGACAAAAGGGGTGGACGTATCAAGGGGGTGCACAGCTGCTTTCCTCCTGAGCTCACCATGGAAAACTCTAACATATATTTCAGTTTCTCAATTACCACCACGCTTGAGGGCTAGCCTCTTTGGAGGAAGAGACTAATAAATTTACGAGGTATGGTACTTCTGAACTTTAAAAGTGAACCATGTATAAAGGCGTCTGGGCACATGTTCTTGGTGTCAAGTGTCATTCATAACATGTCCCTGGGTGATTTCAGAGAACCAATCTTACCTTCATTGTCAATAACACCGATGAAGCTGTGTGGTTTACCCAAGCCAGCGAAGAATGCCATTGTCTACTACGTTTCCTAATGCCTTTATCTGAAAGGCTTCAAATTCTCCCCATTCAGATGTTTTGAAAAGTTTTAAGTTATACTCGTGTTAGTCTGGGTACAGTAGAGAAACAAATCCACAGAAACTCATATGTATAGGAAAGGGTTTTATATAAAGGGTAAGTGCACATCAAGAAAACATCCCAACCCAGTGCTGCCAAGCCCACAAGTCCAACATTAGCCCATATGTCCGACACCAATCCACAAAGTCCTCCTCCATCTCACAAAACACACGCAATGACGCCACCGACTGCAGGAGGAAAGCCGAGTCAGTGAGCGGGTAAGCATCTCAGCGCTGGCAGGGGTCTCCACATGGCTGCTCCAGCACCCAGGGCTGCATCGGGGTAGATCCATGTGGGTTCTCCTCAGAGATGTCTTGCAGGAAATGAGCCTTGCCAGCTGAAGCAGGGAACTGGCTAAGGCAGCTGCACCCTGGTGTGATCATTAGAAAGTAAGTGACCCGAGAACTCAAAAGGCGAGGATCACCGATCCATTTATCCCTCTGCCCTTCAAGTAACCCCACATGTGATTATCGGCCAGGTTGGCACAATAAACTTTACTGATATCAATTTGTCTCATGAAAGAGGAGATGTGTAGATTCAGACATGATATGTGGCATGATACTTATCGTTGATACTATCAAGTGCATCATCTATTCTTTGTAACATACTGGAGGTGTTTAGTGTTTGTAAAGCAGCTCTCGTAAGGATCAATGATTAGGGTTTTTTCTTTGCTCTTTACTACCAAAGGATCAAGTAAAAAATTAGCCTATATGTGTATGTTTTCTTATGCCAAATAATCAAAAGAATGAAAAATAGTGGATTTTTTTCATACATAACTCCAGATTTGTAATGTTTTTTTTCTCTTTCCCATACAGAAATAAGCTGTTCCCTGAGTCTGCTATCAGGAATATCATGTACCAGATATTGCAGGGACTCGCATTTGTTCACAAACATGGTAGGCAATTTGGGTTGTCCTTCTTTTGAATGACAGTGATGCGTTGGCATGAAGTAGCAGATAAGTGAAGTAGCACTATCTTTTGTGACTGACGGACTCCCAGAGTCCACGGAAGAGTTCAAAGGCCAACATTGGACCCTGGGAGGTGACCTCTTCTGGAACTTGATTTCTGAATTTCCCTCATTATCTGCATGTTTTTATTTGTCGGATGTTAACATCAGCCTCGTTATATTTAGGTCTAAGAATGAGTGCTGATTAGGTGATATCAGAAGCTCTGGTGGTGTAGTGAATTACACATTGGTCATCAGTTCAAAACCCCAGCTTCTCTGCAGGAGAACGTTGCTACTACAGCCTTGAACACCCACAGGGATGATTCCACCCTGTCCTAGAAGGTTGCTCTGAGTCAGAATCGACTTGATGGCAGTAAGTTTGAGTTGGGTGACATATTAGTGAAAAAGCAAAGGTTAGAATTCAAAGAATCTCCTCGGGTGCTGTTTCACCAGCCCGATGGCTTCTCATTTCTGTAATATGCTTCTACTTCTTCTTCTTGCAGAAGGGTTTAAAAGTGGCTTGATAGGATTTATGCAACACGGGAAAATAAAAATTCTAAATGCACAAAGGAAAAGGAAAGGCAACAACAGCAGAGGAAAAATAAACCGTGATCAAGACAAGGTCAAGGTTAATACTTAAAGTTCTCCCCCCAACGAGTTATTTAAACACAAGAAGCAGGCCACGAGTTTGATTCTGAGCTTGCTGTCAGCCAGTGCCAAGTACGGAGCATGACCAATGGCAACATGCAAAGGTCCCTCCAGGTGAAAACAGCTCGTTGCCTGGGGCAGGAGAGGAACTCCTGATCCCCAGCCCAGAGAGAGGTTTTCTTCCATGGACCCTCGTGCAGGGAGCAGTCTGTAGCACGGCTACATTGCAAACACGGCGGCTACCTCAAGTGGTTGGATGATCTCTCTCAGTGTAGGCCACTGACTTCCCCTGGTCAGAGAGAATGGTTCTACTGGGGCCTGGTGGGATTCGCCCTAGGGATGGTGGTCTGGTTAGTTGTGGGAGAGATTTAGAGAATCCACAGGGGCCGGGGGCTATATACCCTTCAGGAAGTCGTTTTTCTCAGCTGAGTTTTCAGAGGCCATTGTGGTTGTATTCTCTAGCCAGTGCCTGGAGCACTGCTGGTCTTTTTACTAGCTGTGTGCCGGGCCCTGCTGGGGTGGATTTCCATCTTGTGAACACAGAGCCCCCAGAATGAACAAATCCACGAGTAGCGCCGGGAGTCGCTTCAGGATGTCCCTTGAGGTCTCTAGAGACAGATGGGTGCAACCGTTGATTTTTTTTCTTTTAAATCATTTTATTGGGGGCTCATACAACTCTTATCACAATCCATACGTACATCAACTGTGTAAAGCACACTTATACATTTGTTGCTCTCATCATTCTCAAAACATTTGCTTTCCGCTTGGGCTCTTGGAATCAGCTCCTCATTTTTCTTTTTGTTTTTCCCCCTTCCTCCCCACTCCCCCCTCTCTCATGAACCCTTGATAATTTATAAATTATTATTTTATCATAACTTGATTTTTTAAAAAATCTTTTATTGGAGGCTCTTACAGCTCTTATAGCATTCCATACATCCATTATATCAAGCTTATTTGTACATATGCTGCCATCATCATTTTCTAAACATTTACTTTTCTATTTGAGCCCTTAGTCTCAGCTCTTCCTGTTTCCCTCCCCACCTCCCACCCTCGTGATCCCTTGATAAATTGTAAATTATTATTATTTTCATATTTTATACCGACCGCTGTCTCCCTTCACCCACATTTCTGTTGTTCATCGTCCTGGGGATGGGGCGGGGTGGGGGGATTATGCCGATCATCATGATCAGTTCCCCCTTCCTTCCCTCTTGGTAGCGCTCCTACCAACTCTGTTCCTGAGGGGTTTATCTGACCTGGATTCCGTGTGCTGTGAGCACTTATCTGAAGCAGTTGATTTTATACCGCAGAAATCCTTTCACACACACACACACACACACACACGCACGCACGCACGCGCACGCGCGCACGCACACACACACACACACAAACACACACCAACTCTCAGGATGCTGCTGCCACCATTGTAGATGCACCAACAAATGAGTCCATTACCCATTAGCAAGGCCAGGTTGAAGCTCCCTGTCAGCGTAGTCTGTCCAGATTTGACGCAAATTGGCAGTGACTGGAGAAGACCTTGACCGGGAACTCGGTCCTGCAGCCCGGGCCTAGCACTTCTGGGGTGGTTCCCAGGCTGCTTTTCAGCACCTCTACCACTGCTTTCGGTTCAAGACTAAATGCGGCCCAAGCACTGGCTCTCCGTGCATGGCCCGAGCAGCCGTGGCCCGTGTGGAGTGATCAGTGAGTAACATGTAAGGTGGAGTTGAATTGTGAGCCAGTTCTATCAAAAGTATCTCTGATTCCACTGAGATTGATCGAATGCCATATACCTTCGACTTGACTCCCAAGAATTCATCAAGGGCGGCGTGAATGTGTCAAACGTTAAAAATGTCTGGTAGAGCTTCTTAGAGACAAAGAAGAGGGTGACTTATTCGATTTAAGAGCTCCAGAAAAGAAATGATATAAAATCAAAGGTTTTCTCCAAAGAGCGATTTTCAACCAGCACATTTTCAAAAAGCAGCCCATCAGTGTGTCAGTAATTAAGGCTCTTTTAGTTTGCTAGTTGACCTGAAAGAAAGTCAACGTTCTTCTGTTTTCCCTCTCTTTCTTATGTGTGTGTGTGTATGTGATTATCCTCCTCATGAATCTTGCCAGATGCTTAGCAAATGTGGTATACACACCACCACATGCACAAATGTACACATGCGTGCACACACATGCACTTCCATGTATTTTCATATGCACGTACACATGTGTATGTACCCAAATGTGCATGCACCCCCTATACATGCATGCATACACATTTCCACTCATCCCCCTTCATGTACACACGCATCTATTTTTATGTCCAATAATTTCATATCTGGGTACCACTGTGCCCATTCAGTTCTTACAAGCTGAACTCTCCACCTCCCTCCCATGTCTTACCCACTAGGATTGTGTGTGGAAGCAGAGCAAGGGCAGGCTTGGTTATGGAGCTATTAGCTGCAAGGTCAACTGCTCGGCGGGAGAAAGCTGAGACTGTTCCCATAGAGGTTTATGGCCTTGGAAACCAAAGGGACACTTCACCCCGACCTATCGGGTCTCTCTGAGCTGGAATGGACTCAGTGACCGTGGATTTATAAGGTTATGGCCATTCACAGAGACTCTTGTCCATTCTTTTCCCCGACTGTTCAGTTGTCAGTTCTCATGTGAGCTTACTAACATTTCATCAGCTACTTGATTTATTCCCTGACAGCTTTCCCGATCGAAGGGGTGCTGTCTGTTCATTTGAAAGAAGAGGGTGCTGCGGCTCAGAGGGGCTTAAAGACCCACCAGGGGCCTCCTGCAGTGAGGTGGCGCAGATGAACTCAGACTTCCTGCCCTTTTCCCAGGCTTTTCAAAGAAAACACGAGACTAAGAGGTGACCAAAATGGCAGGAATCATTGGGGGGAGGTGGGGAGAGGGGCTGGGTACTCATTTTATAGGTCTTGACCATGCCCTTGATTAACAATTTGCGGGAACCACAGCCAGGTCATTGAGCTGACTTGGGTTACATGCACAGGCAGCTCCGTATTACTCTTTCTCTCCTGCCTTGGAGAAAACGCCTAAAGCATCTCACGGATTGTCTTGTGAGCTGCAGGCTCCTCTCAGGTTGCTCGTTCTCACTGTGAGAAGGTGCGCTCTGCCCCTGGGGACTCTGGTCCTCCGAGAGGGCAGCAGAGCTCTGCAGGTAGTTGCTATGGCCGTAGTTCATGTCAGAGAGTGCCTTTGCACCTACAGGGAATTGAAACGTGCCTCTGGTTGAGCAATGCCAAAGCAGATGTACTTTACAGGAATTAAACCATGCATGCAAGCTGGGCATTACAACCTTGACCCACCCTTGCAAATTTCTGGGTCACGCTTACCCACGGAGGTCAGGAAAAGATGCCCTAAGTGGCTGGGAAGATGATGCTTTACCCCATGGGGTGGTTCCCTGCTTCTGCGTCCACCACGGCCTTGCTGCTGATGACCTTGCCGGTGCCCTTTGCCTCGCTCTGTATCGCTCGTTGTCTTTGTTCCGTAACACAGTCATACCCGTGACCTGCTGGAGAAGAAAACACCGTGCGTTTCAAGTCAGTAATAGCTGTCAAGCCCCGACTTCCTCAGCAGGGAGGCGCGCTGCGTAGCTCCACAGTGCTTCAGTATTCTCTGGTGTTTGCACATGTTACTTCGTGTTCATCATTCACAGAATTCGGCGGAGGGGAGAAAGCCTCCTTTGTGGCTTGATGTTTTCCTTGCCTGGGGGCCGTGCATGAAAAAGTAAGCACAACACATTTTCTGCCAGGATGAAAGAACAAAAAACCCACAAACCTCTGTTATTCATCTGGCATGCTGGGTCTTGAAATTAAATGGAAGGGCTGGCCCTGCCTTCCGGAAGCCCAGCCGTTTTAAACAGGAGAGTTCTTATGGTCACAGCACTTTGCTATGGGGAGATCTCTAGAAGGCCCGGCTATAAGGGTTCCTTTGTGAATGAGAAGCTCGGTGGAGACACGGGCTCATTGTCTGGGGCAGCAGTGCGCTCACCAGCAGAACACAGACCCAAGAATCAGATCCGTGTTCTAGCAACACCTTGAGTCAGCCGGGCACGGTACTGCTTTGTGAGACTTAATTCTGACTTGCCAAAAAAGGAAACAAAGGAACCACGTCAGCCTAGGTGTTGGGGGGTAAAATAAGAAGCGTGCTGCAGGTAATGCCGAGCGCGTACAATGCTCCAACCCTGCAAAGCAGCCCCATGAGGGAGCTGTAGTCTGTCCCCATTTTATGGACGAGGAAACCAAGGCATAGAGAGGTTAGGCGATCTTCCAGTCAGTGCGTATCAGACTC